AAATCTTTATTGTGCATAAATAAATAAATCTTTAAAAAATTGCACACCTGAATGCTATCAAACACTGTTACTTTAGTTAACTACCTGATTAATTTAAAAATAAGTAAAATGACAGTGGTTCTGCTTATACCCATGCAGTAAATTTTTTTGTCTGGTGATAGTAGAACTATAGTTTGTTCTACTCCAGATTCAGTCATTATCTTCCTTGTTTCCTATTTCTGGTTTTAACCCCCTTTAGCAGGCTTCTTTAAACTAATGAATCCCAACTTTTTCCTGAGGATAAGATTTTCCATGACTCTGACTAACCCTCAAATATATCTTGCAGCCCTAAACACTAAAAAAATATACCCAGTCTGGTGTTTGACTGACTGCAGAGATCAGAAAACTGGCTGAGGGTGCTGGAGGAAATCCATAGAGATGACACCTTAAGAAAATTCAGTTCTCAGCAAATATTTGTAAATAACTCACTGACGCAAATATACAACATAAAGACCTAGAGACTCACAGTCCATGGCAACCCCAGACAAGTGTCCTTCTTTATGTGGACCAGGTCATTGTAAATGGGTGACATCTAACAGAAATCTCCTTTGCCTCAATCTCAGTTTATGTCACATTTCTTCCTTTTCTATAGAGTGACGAAGAATTGACAAATAGATCCTGTTTCCAAGTGGACTTTCTAAAGGGAAGACTATGCACTGCTGGTATTATAGCAGCTATCTGTAGGTAGTACCTAAACAAATTTTAACTGGTGAATACATTTAGTATGTATTTGAAATATAAAAATCAACAAAGCAAACTCATAATTTTAAAGACGATGTACACTAAGTTGAGGTTTTCTTTAAGGAAATGTCTACATAAAACTGACTTAAAGAAAAATACCAAACAAATAATTGTGTGGCTATGGCACACATGACACAGGACAGACATGGGGCCCAAGTTGCCTAAGTGTGGACAGCACATCTGTCCCCATCTAACCCTCCTGTGGGACTCTCTCCAGCCTCCAAAGCTCCTGAGGCTCTGTGGGTTTTCCTCAGGAACGATGATAAACCCCTGTCTAAGGTAGCTGTGACCTTAGCTTCATGCATGTACATACAAATACTGTTTCCTTATATTCATTCATCCTTATATTCATAACAAGCTTTCTCCTATGCAGTTCATCCTTTCTTCTGACCACATTTCTAAAACCTCTCTTCTTCCTTCTTTCACTGATGAGACACTCATCTGACACTACATAATATGATGAGAAGAAAGAAAAGTACTAGGTATTGAACAACAGTAACATTCAAGTTTCCGTTGGAAATAAACCTGTGACCTCCAGGATCAAAGCCAACGAGTCATGTTCCTTGAATCCAAAGCTAAAAACTAGTCTGATCATCTCATTGAATTATGTGTGCAAATATTTATGCTTGTGTAGTACTGTTCATTTTAAAACAACTTGAGTGGAAATTCAAAATATTTCTATGTATGTCTATGTATTTACTCATAGATTACACACATGCTACTAATATATGGGTGTTATCAAGCATAACCAAATGTAGGCATCGACCAGGGTGAGGTGGAGACTAAAACTAGTGAGTGAAAATCTGGTGAAGAACTAGATACTTACATAATCTCAAATTGTATCCCACAAATTAGTCACAAATTGGGAAAAGGGAATGTACAGAGAAACCCAGAGCAGCAGTTTCACCAAGTGATCAAGCCTGACGTAGCTAGTAATGAGACAAGTAGGTAATGTCTGCACTGAGGGTACAACCTCCTCTCTTGATGTTGCTGCTCAAAATGCATATTTCACCTCAAATTGAGGGAAATTCTACATTTCTTGCCTGTATTATTCAAAATGTTAAAACTGTTTTATATATAAAGAAACTAAGTAGAAATGACAACTAAACCCGGCATGCAATTCTTAACTGGAAAAAAATAGCTGTGAAAGATACTGGATTGATGTAATTTCAGTATGGTTATGAATTAGATAACAGTGCTGTATCAATGCTAAATTTCTTGATTTTGACTTTTGTACCTTGGTTAAGTTCCTGTTCTAGAAAATACTGAAATATTACTGAAATACTTAGGGCAATGGAGCATGTATGTGAGCTAGATAGAGCAATTGATAAGTAGAAGATAGATGGACAGACAGACAGATAGATGAAGAGCAGGCACTGTGAAGAAAGGACCTGATTAGGGACAAAGAGAAGAGAATTTGGAGCACTGATATGCATTGCTACAAAGTTCCTCCAGGTTCTTATTGCCACTTGATCTTCCCTGCTATTTAGAGTAAAAGGATCCCAATAAATACCTGTTAAATAATCACTGAAGTACTAGTAAAGTACCTCAAGGACAAACAACATATTTTAAAGATTAAGAAACAGAGACTCAATGTATTTAATTTAAAAAGTCACACAATTAGTAAGAAAGAGCTAGAAATCAAGAAAACTTATTTTTTGATCGAATGTCTAGGACTCTTTGCTTTTGAGCATAGTTTAAGCAATAAAGTTTAATTCAATAATGGTGAATTTTCCTGTAAAGCAATCATAAGGAAATTGATGACTGACATGTATACAAGTTAAAAAAGAGACATGACGTTAACCCCCACCCAGCAACTCATCTGTTCCTGTTTGTTTTGTTTTCTCCCTTTAAAATGAACTGTATCACACTAAGAAATTGGGTGGAGCTAGAGCTTTGATTTAAAATCATGGTCTGGATTTGGTAGTCCTGAGTAGCATAAAGACTGCTGTTCTGGTTCCATGTTTGACCTCATCTAAAACTCCTGAGGATATCTGTTACTCGTTTTGACTGGCAGAAAAATAAATCATAAAATCACATATTTTACACTAGAAGGAATGGTTGAGATTACTTGGGCCAACCTTCTTGCATCAGAGAAATCTGTAATAACTCTTTCCTGACTGGAGTAAAAAATGACTCAACTGATACTCTAAGTTAATTGCATATATTTGGTAAGAAATTATACAGATAGTTGATGAATACTATCAAAATGTCCCTTATCTCCTGCCTAAGACCTATTTATACGGATGGTTTGCTGTCAACCATTAGTAATTCATAATTAAAACGTGGCACATCAAGCTAGAGAGACAAGCTAATGAATAGATAAGAGGAGAAACAAATCAGTATCTGTAGTTGGCTAGAATATGGTCCTGCATTTGAATTCTTGTTTTTTATTCCTATTATCCCTTCAATGTAATGGGACTTAGAGGCTGAGAATCACAAGAATCTTATTTTTGAGGTCCAGAAATACAGCTTTCCACACCATGTACCTCAACAACAGATCCAGAGTAGATTACTGGCTGTCTCCACTCTCGACCACATGCCTGGAAAATTGGTTTAGGGAAGAGAAAGGTCAAGATTGGTAAAAAGGACTTTGAAACTTTGTGGAAATTAATTTCAAAATTAAAGAGATTCTTTATGTTGAAGGGGACTGGGATATGATTTCATCTAGGACAAATATTTGTCTCTGGGAAGATCACTATTAAGGTGTTTGAAACTTTCAGATTTGACTAAATCTTTATTTGGACAAGACAAAATCCTAGACATTTTAATTCCAATGAGCTAAAGAGTTATGGATAATAATATAATATTACATTTATCATAGAATTTTATTTTAAACAGTGGCTTAGACTACATTGTTGGTGGTTCTCTAATTCTAATGCAAACATGTACACAGGAGAGAAAAATAGCTGCCCCAAGATGACAAAAAGGGTGTGAAATTCTAGCTTCATTTTATGCAGGTAGAACAACAAATGATATTGTAATGGGAACTTACAAACCTCAGTCTAGACTGTGGTGTTGAAACCCTACAAATGAATAATGCATAAGGAATCAGTGTAGTATCTTTTGGGAGCCAAATGGCAACATCATACTCTTGAGGGAAGAGTGGGATTTGCTCTAGTTTCTCAGCCTTGGCTCAACTGATCCAGGCAGCCCTCTGTTGTCTGCAG